GGGGGGGGACAGAGAGTGGTGTGTGTATGTGTGTGTGTGTGTGTGTGTGTGTGTGTGTGTGTGTGTGTGTGTGTGTGTGTGCGTTAAACTTGGAGGGTATATGTTCAGAGAGCGGGAGCGGAAAAGATGGCATGACCCGACTCTGTTCCCCAGTGCCCTCACACAAACACACAAACACACACACACACACACGCGCACAGAGGCTCACCCAGCCCCCAGCCACCCAGTGGCCCACTCAGGCGCGCCCAAATGTGAAACATCCCAGTGGGGATTTCGCGAGGCAGCATAGACGGACCGACCGAGCGACGCCCTCAGTCCGACGTGTCCTTGGCATCGGTAGCGATGCCATCGGCGGTGTCGACAGCAGCGGCAGCCTCGGCGGCCTCGGCAGCAGCAGCAGCGGCGGCGGCGGCGGCCTTCTCCTCATTGGCCAAGAGCTGCTTGGCGCGCTCCTCGGCCCAAAGCTGGCTGAAGGCATCGCTATCGGCGTCAGCCTGGCGGAGGCGCTCGGCGTCGGCGGCGGCCGCAGACTCAGCACCGTCCCCGCGCGAGAGCAGCTCGCGAATCCACGACATCTCCTCGCGAATGCCGGTCCGATGGGCGGTCATGCGCTCGGACATCCGCTGGTTGAAGGTCTCAATCTGGCAGGGAGGGAGGGGGGGAGGAGGGGGGGGGGCAGGAGATGAAGGGCGACCGGTGGCCAAAGCACAAGCACGAGTCAGACAGTGGACGGGGCGAAGGGGAAAAGGCGACAGCCAGGGGAAACGACAGCAGGGGGACAGGGGGGGGGGGCAGGAGGGCGGAGGCAGAGACAGAGGCAGAGAGAGGAGGGTCCGGCAGCGAGGGGAGCCCACATACATCCCAGGCATCCAAATACCACAGGGCTCCGTAGGTGACACTACCGACCATGGCAAAGGCCAGCACCGTGCCAATTAGCAGGGCCTTGGCCGCGAAGAGGACCCGGTCCTGGGTGGGCGGCGCATCCGGGTGCACATACTGGTCGTCCATCGACATGAAGAGAACCTCGCGGAAGACGCTGTTCGACTGGCCGATGCTCAGGGGATTGACCGGCGGGGCCTCGTGGATGTTGAGGGCCGTGGCCACGCCCGGGCCGGAGGGGAGCTCCTTCAAGGGGCCCTCAGCCTCGGCCGGGGGATCGTCCGGGGAGCCGGCCGCAGGGCTCGCCGAAAGGCTGGCCGAGGCGGCATGGCGGTCGGCGGCGGCCGCCGCCGCAGCGGCCACGGCTTCCGGGCTCTGGCCGGCGCGCTTGGCGGCAGCGGCGGCCGAGGCGGCCGCCGCCGCGGCCGCCGGGCTGGCCACACCGGAGGCCGCGGCCGCCGGGCTGCTCGGCCGGCGCAGGCGAATGCGCTTCACACCATCCGAGCCACCGGGGGGCGGTGACCCGGCGGCCGAGGACAACATGCGCAGGCCGATGCCAAAGGCCGGGCCGGCCCGGGAGGCGGGGCCCGAGAGCAGCGCGCGGCCGCTCACATGCGACAAGCGGGAAAGCATGGGAAACAGCAGGAAGGGCGGGCGGGAAAGCAAGCGAGGGTGGTTGCTAGAGTGGGTACGGGGGAGGGGGAGGGGGGGGG